CACCTTCCTTCTACACTCCCTTATTTCTCTGCGTAAATTATTTAATTCTTCATTCCACCTCCCTTCTCTACTATTTTCTTTAACCTTTTTCGAACATTCCTCATTCGTTTTCTCTAACCATTTATATACGATATTCATTTGCTCATTTATATCGCAATTCATAAACTGACCTATATCACAATTTTCAGTTTTTCTACTTATGTCGCAATATAACTCTCCCAATCTACATTTTTAACTGACCATTTAGTTTTATTAACATCATTCTGCCAAAGATACTCATTAAAATTTATTTCTATTTCTATCACGTTATGATCACTTATTCCTATTCCACTCCTAATTCTCCATGTAGTTTCAAATTTCCAATTCTCGTTTATCATTGTTACGTCTATATCACCTCCTCCCATTGGTCCACTATTGGTCTAACAGGAATTATTACAGAAATATAGGGTATTCAAAATCGAGATTTTTCAATTTCAGGAATTTTTTGAGTCGAAACTATTCATTATCAATCAAAACGGCTTACATGTCCCTATGTTAACTTTTGATTCACTATCTACTAACATTTAATTGGAACAGAAACATGGTGATCAAAATTCTAAATCTTGGACCATCCTGTATTTATTCGGTAAATTCGGTGTAAATATCGAAAGTTAATATAGGGACATGTAAGCCGTTTTGACCAATGATGAATAGTTTCGACACAAAAAAAATCCTAAAATTGAAAAATCTCGATTTTGAACACCCTATATCTCTGTAATAATTCCTGCTAGACCTCAAGTGTGATACATTGATGAAATCAACTCTTCGAGAAGAATCTAAAAACGCAATAAAATACAGGGTGTTCCATTTGAAATAACAAAGATAATGCTACTTTTTGGTAAAAGTGGCAACGCTGCTTCGCTAAAAATATTTTGAATCATTAGATCACGAAACCTCTATAAAGTTAGCAAAGCCACTTGCATGAAAATCGATAAAAACTATGCCATTAATTGTCGAATGATTGTCGAGAATTTGTCGTGAAGAAAAAAAAATTGTCGCGCTCTTAGTTTTTTTTTTATATGGGGTGGCTCTGCTAACTTTATATTAAGTTAGCAGTGCCACTAGAATAAATCGACAACTGAAAATCAAATATCGCAACTGTTGTTATCAATAATTGTCGAGTAATTGTCGAAGTCCATCTAACACAAAAAAATGCGAAAAAAGTGTTTTTTTAACGCGTATATTTACATTTTTAGTGAAATTTCCTGGAATCCGTGGAAATTTCCAGTATTTGGCAACACCGCATTCTTATTTCGACCTCCTACATCATTTTCAGTGACATAATTGATAGATATCTATATATGTTTCATTTTCTCTCTTCTATAGATCAGATAAAAATCATTGTAAATGATGAATAAAAGAAGAAAAAAAGTCACCCATGTGAATTGTTGATTTCTATTTACATTTAGGAAATCCCATAACTTTTATAGGGTGGCAAAAACTATTTGTCGCTTGACCTGTTGGTACGAAAAATTGTCGAAGTCTATTTAACGTAAAAAAATCAACAAAAAATTGTTTATAGCTCTGTTATATTCATTGGACTTTCTGGAAACTGATGTGTAAAATCTTTAGTTCATTATTCTCCGCTTTGAAATTCATTGAGCAATTGTCGAATGACCTAAACATATTTGTCGTGAAGGAAAAAAAATTGTCGCGCTCTTAGTTTTTTTTCATGTGGGGTGGCTCTGCTAACTTTATATTAAGTTAGCAGTGCCACTAGAATAAATCGACAACTGAACATCAAATATCGCAACTGTTGTTATCAATAATTGTCGAGTAATTGTCGAAGTCCATCTAACATAAAATAAATCCAAAAAAGTATTTTTTAACGCGTATGTATACATTTTTAGTGACTTTTCCTGTTATCAGTGAAAACTGATGTGTAAAATCTTTAGTTTATTATTCTCCGCTCTGAAATTCATTGAGCAATTGTCGAATGACCTAAACATATTTGTCGTGAAGAAAAAAAAATTGTCGCGCTCTTAGTTTTTTTTTTATATGGGGTGGCTCTGCTAACTTTATATTAAGTTAGCAGTGCCACTAGAATAAATCGACAACTGAAAATCAAATATCGCAACTGTTGTTATCAATAATTGTCGAGTAATTGTCGAAGTCCATCTAACACAAAAAAATGCGAAAAAAGTGTTTTTTTAACGCGTATATTTACATTTTCAGTGAAATTTCCTGGAATCCGTGGAAATTTCCAGTATTTGGCAACACCGCATTCTTATTTCGACCTCCTACATCATTTTCAGTGACATAATTGATAGATATCTATATATGTTTCATTTTCTCTCTTCTATAGATCAGATAAAAATCATTGTAAATGATGAATAAAAGAAGAAAAAAAGTCACCCATGTGAATTGTTGATTTCTATTTACATTTAGGAAATCCCATAACTTTTATAGGGTGGCAAAAACTATTTGTCGCTTGACCTGTTGGTACGAAAAATTGTCGAAGTCTATTTAACGTAAAAAAATCAACAAAAAATTGTTTATAGCTCTGTTATATTCATTGGACTTTCTGGAAACTGATGTGTAAAATCTTTAGTTCATTATTCTCCGCTTTGAAATTCATTGAGCAATTGTCGAATGACCTAAACATATTTGTCGTGAAGGAAAAAAAATTGTCGCGCTCTTAGTTTTTTTTTTATATGGGGTGGCTCTGCTAACTTTATATTAAGTTAGCAGTGCCACTAGAATAAATCGACAACTGAACATCAAATATCGCAACTGTTGTTATCAATAATTGTCGAGTAATTGTCGAAGTCCATCTAACATAAAATAAATCCAAAAAAGTATTTTTTAACGCGTATGTATACATTTTTAGTGACTTTTCCTGTTATCAGTGAAAACTGATGTGTAAAATCTTTAGTTTATTATTCTCCGCTCTGAAATTCATTGAGCAATTGTCGAATGACCTAAACATATTTGTCGTGAAGAAAAAAAAATTGTCGCGCTCTTAGTTTTTTTTATATGGGGTGGCTCTGCTAACTTTATATTAAGTTAGCAGTGCCACTAGAATAAATCGACAACTGAACATCAAATATCGCAACTGTTGTTATCAATAATTGTCGAGTAATTGTCGAAGTCCATCTAACACAAAAAAATGCGAAAAAAGTGTTTTTTTAACGCGTATATTTACATTTTTAGTGAAATTTCCTGTAATCCGTGGAAATTTCCAGTATTTAGCAACACCGCATTCTTATTTTGACCTCCTACATCATTACTTTACTTTACTTTACTTTCAGTGACATAATTGATAGACATCTATATGTTTCGTTTTCTCTCTTCTATAGATCAGATAAAAATCATTGTAAATGATGAATAAAAGAAGAAAAAAAGTCACCCATGTAAATTGTTGATTTCTATTTACATTTAGGAAATCCCATAACTTTTATAGGGTGGCAAAAACTATTTGTCGCTTGACCTGTTGGTACGAAAAATTGTCGACTCATTGTCGAAGTCTATTTAACGTAAAAAAATCAACAAAAAATTGTTTATAGCTCTGTTATATTCATTGGACTTTCTGGAAACTGATGTGTAAAATCTTTAATTTGATTTTCTCCGCTCTGAAATTCATCAAACAATTGTCGAATAACCTAAACATATTTGTCGTGAAGAAAAAAAAAATTGTCGCGCTCCTAGTTTTTTTTTATATGGGGTGGCTCTGCTAACTTTATATTAAGTTAGCAGTGCCACTAGAATAAATCGACAACTGAACATCAAAAATATAGCAACTATTGTTATCAATAATTGTCGAGTAAATGTTGAAGTTCATCTAACATAAAAAAAGTATTTTTTAACGCGTACATTCTCAGTGAAATTTCTTGGAATCCGTGGAAATTTCCATTATTTGGTACCACCGCATTCATATTTCGACCTCTTACATTATTTTCAGTGACATAATAATTGATATCGTCCATAATCACATAGCCCATCCGCCATATTGGAGCGGCCATCTGGAATTTCTCGATTTTGAAGGAAGAATCATAATCTCCGACCTCGAAAACCTCAGAAACCAATTCTGAATAGAATCGGATCATAATTACAGAACTCGTTCGCCATATTGGAGCCGCCATCTTGAATTTTTCAATTTTGACAGAAGAACCATCATCTCTGACCCCGAAAATATCCAGATACCAAATTTCAATAGAATCGGATCATAGTTACGAAACTCGTCTTCCATATTGGAGCCGCCATCTTGAATGTTTCAATTTCGACAGAAGAACCATCATCTTTGACCTCAAAAACCCCTAGAAACCAATTTTGAATAGAATCGGCTTATAATTACAAACCTCGACCGCCATATTGGAGCCGCCATTCTGTTTTTTTCTCTAACAAAAATGCCATAATGCATTGTCACCGGAATTATGTACACCTGCCAAATTACAAATCAATCGGACGATTAGATGTGGTCTAAAAATTGGTTACAAGATTTGACTGACATTTTTTTATCACCAACAACAGATTGAATATAAGCGTGTTAAAAAACATTTCAAATTTGTATAGTCATATTGGATCATCTTGAGATAACCTGGATAATAAGAGTCCTCCAGGAAATCATTTTATTTGTTATGAAAGAAACATTGCCGAACATGGCCGAACTGAATACCTTTTAATAATTTAGCTTTTCCCTATGAACTATCTGGATCGTAGGTATATCAACATTATCAAATCCACTCCAAACTAAGTTTACCCGATGCGTTAACTTATTCGCTGGACAGACTGTAGACATCACTTGACCACGTGACAACACGGGGCACGTGATATTCCCAAAGGCGCCAAAGCGGGAATATCACTAATATTAGTAGATCACAGGTCAGTCATCATAGTATTGTCTTACTGTGGTGTACTTATTGGGGTGCGTTTTGTTCAGTCGAATGCAATTCAATTCAGATTCTCGTGGTGTTAGTTATTATTTCAGTGAAAGACTCTTGGTGATTCTCGTTAATTCAATAATGGAAAAACTTGTTCCTGGAAAAAGGCCCTTAGTTCCTCGCAACATTTTGGTGGAGACTATTCTTAAACATAAACATGAACTTGTTTTCAACAACGAGATTGCGCGGGCAACAGCGGCTGTTTGGAAAGTGATTGAAGCTGGTTTAGACAATAAAATTAAGGCGACATCTCTTCACTCGATGTGTGTGGGTAATCGGTATCATTTGAAAAGTTTGCTCACAGACACAGCAACGCTGGATGCTGATCAGGAATATGAGGTATCCCTAAACGAGTGTGAATCGTCTGAATCGAATCGAAATTCCATGAGAAATTCCCTCGGAAATTCCTTCAACTTCATTCTCTCTATCAAGACATCCAAATTCGAAAGTCTCTTGACTGAAAGAGTATATGCGAGGAAAACCATGAAAGGAAAGATAGGAGAACGTCGAATTACAATATTTCAACCAAGTAAATGGACTGAAATAGTATCTAAAAAAATTTATGATGATTACCGACTCAATCATGGATATCATTTTAAAAACCATTATTTGACCAGGCAGGCAGACTATGGTGTTTTCAAAGGTGAGTTCATTAGAAGCTTGCCAGGAAAAAATAACGATACATCAATAAAAAATATAATTTATCGATATTGCTGATTAACGTACATAATTCCAGTGACATTCCATTATGAAATTTTTATTAGAGGTAAAAACAAAATGGCGGATTCAAAATGGCGGATAAGTTTTGTAATTATGATCCGATTCTATTCAAAATTGATATCTGGGGGTTTTCGGGGTCGGAGATGATGATTCTTTTGTCAAAATTAGAAAATCAAAAATGGCGTACAAGTTTTGAGACGTTCTGAGATTATGGTCCGATTATATTCAAATTTGGTATGTAGGGGTTTCGGGGTCGGGAATCATGAATTCATTGTCAACATTTACAAATTCAAGATGGTGTCTTCAAAATGGCGGAAGGTTTTGAGAGATTGAAAAATTTAGAAAATCCTTGATTTAATAGACTATAAAGTAGAAAATAAAATATAAAAAAAATGATAAAACCACGGCTGAAGGACTTCGGTCGATTGCCATTTGGTAAATTATACCAATAAAGGACTTTTATTATTATTATTAAAACCACTCTTATATTTTTAAATGCACTAAAAAAGAAAAATATTATTTCTGCAATCGACTCAAAAGTCATCCATTTTTGTTCAAAAATCAGCTCTAGAAGTTGACGTTTACTAACACAAAAATAGGAATGTTCCTAGGCAACACTATGTTGCTAGACAACACTTTTAGTTCCTAGGAGCTAAAGTTGAACTATCAACTCCTACTCATGATATTATTATAATAATCTGTCAAGTGAGTCACATTGGCGGTTACTTCATTTATATTTATTTTAGTTAGGTGTTTATTCTTTCGGTTGCAGAAAAAATAGCATGTTTGATCCTAATAAAACAATCTACTATTTTTTTCCTGATGATGATCCAAAAATGAAGAGTATGACTAAAAGCGTGGAGCGCTTTCATCATCGCGGAATATATGATTTTCTGGTGCTCTTTTTGATAATATAATATTTTTTACATCCCATGCGTTTTTGGAGGGATTTCTCATAGCATATTTTTCAGATATTCAGGGTGGTGCGGAATACAGAATTCTGAACCACCTTGTATTTGTTTCAATTAAATACCAGTAGATAGTGATTCAAAAGTTAAGATAGGGACATGTAAGCCGTTTTAACCAATAATTAATAGTTTCAACAGAAAAAAATCGTGAAGCTGAAAAATCTCGATTTTCAACACACTATATCTCTGTTATCATTCCCGCTAGACCGATAAACTATAAGGTACCGTTGAATAGAGAATTGGCCGTCCTTCAAAATGATGTGCCACTTGACCCCCCTTCCCATTTAAGATTCTGAGGGTAACACCTACCCCTCCTAGGGGGTTGAACCATTGGGGTTGAAAATATCCATTCAACGTGTCCCCCTCAAAATAAAATTGACCTGTCTTTTTAATTTTTCATATTATTCACTGGAAGGGAGATATTGAGGGTGGGAAGTTTTAGAAATGTCACCCTGTATATCTAAATAATTAGACAAAATCATTACCATTCTTAGGTTTATGCAAATGTGGAAGTACGGTCATTTGCAAGGTACTACCCCCATCAGATGTTGATAAAGCTATTCGCAAAATAGAATGTTCGATTTCTGAAGGCAAAGGAAAATGTGGAAAACGCCAACTACGAGGGAATCTCAGGAAAAAAAATAGCGAAAGACCTGCAAACCGAATCAACGGTTAAATGGAGACACAGAGTAGCCAGTGAAATGATGGATAAGGGGATTTCTGTGGAGCCACCGCATTTGTATAATGCAGATGTTTTGAGGGTTGCAAAACATGAATGCATTCGAATGCAGTATCTGGACCAAGACCCAATCAAGGCCATTGCAATTTTGAAAAAAAGTTCTGTTGGACAGAACGTGATACGTGACATCGGGTATGACCCATTCCATGTCACGATTGCATCGGCACACCAAATTCGTGTATTCAACAAAATGAATAGAATATGCGAAACAAACTTGAGTATCGATGCAACTGGTGGGGTTGCGAAGAAAATTGTTCATGTTGATGGACGTGTTTCAAAACACATTTTTTTATATAATGCAGAGTCACATGACATGGCATCCATAAGTAAATGGTTATTGGGAACAATAAGATGTGGAATGGAATTTCCTCGACAAGTGGTAAGGAAGAAATAATTAGAAATACGTGTGTCCAAGATAAGGCAACATGGGTGTATCTCGGTAACCATAAAAGTCAAATGGACAAAAAGTGGCGCATTTAAGGGGTTTATGAAAATATGTTGAAAAATCCCAAAATTGTTGTTTACTTCCGGAACTATTCGAAAAAAAAAAAATTGGCGATTTGGTTTTTATTTTTTTCTGAAGTTATTTGAAAAGTTTTGAAGAAATCAAAGACACTTTCTCCACTTTTTTAGCTCTACAGAATGGCGTTCACAAAATCTCCATTTAACGTTTCGTTTCGAAGAAACCATCAACTTTTTTTATATAGTATATGACACGATATAAAGTACACCATGTATGACATACCATTTTTTATTGTTAACGATTAGACGTTCGGCGCAATTTGTTTTCTTATGTTCATTTAGAAAAAATATTTAATTGCACAACTTCTTTCCTATAAGGCCTATTTTTAACCTACTGTGTAACTATTACGGAAACCAAGATTCATGAAGTTCATCCTTATCTTCGGCACACTGGTATATGAAAAATTCATATAAATTTTTTTTACAGACTATCGACGAATCGAAAGCACTTGAAAACGCATGTGCTTTGATATTCTCAGGGGATTTCAATATAACAAAATATGCAAACAGGTGTTTCAATACTGGTAAAACAGATTTTCCCAAAACATACATAAGAACTGACGTGGCACATTACATCAAGAGTTGGGTAAATTTCTTCAGTAAAGAAAGTAAAGAAAAATGGAAAAAAAAATTCTACTTGTGTGCTATTGGCCAATTGATTCTTTGTCGTGACAGAGATTCTGCCAAGTGCTTAATTACTGCACTATTGACAGTTTCCCTTTCTGAAAAAGCGGGTGTAGGTGCAACCTCTTTAAATGAATCTCTCCATACAATTAAGTCCCTTGTTCTTGGCAACACTTGTCAAGAAGAAGAAGTTGAGGAAATAATAAGCAAGACAATTGAAGATTCTGAAAAAGACATCGAAGAGGCAACAGAAGAGGGAGAAGATGAAGACGAACCTCAAATGTCAAATTTGGTCGCGAATCAATGGCAGCAGTGGGGCAATGATATTAGGAATGAGGTTGAAAGAAAATTAGAGTACGAAAATGGAGATGATTATAATCCCAGATATTTTCCCGCCTTTGCCGAACGTCTCATGAAAAAAATGGCAACAATTCCTCTTTGGAGTTGCATTTGCCGAGATGATTTTGGTTATGGGCGAATTCCTGCCAGTAGTGCTCCTGTAGAGGCAGAATTCAATATTATTAAAAATCGAATTCTCTGCAAGCGGATATTACGTGTAGATGTCGCAGTAAGAACATTTTTGGAATACATTGATGGGAAATTGAAAATATTCGAAGCTAAATCAAATCCTACGAACGAAAATATCAATATTGAAATAAAATCAACTATGGAGTCACCTCGGCGACCAAAGAAAATAGATGTTTCAGATGACGCCACACCAAGTAATTTCGAAATTGAAAAATAATTTTCTTTAGATTTCCCAGTTGTTTCTCTTAATAGCACAACTGCTTATGAGATTGCACAAAAATTCAATAGTAGCAGATCCAGAGATATTTTCAAAGATGAACTTTCTCCAATCAGTTCTACAAAAAATGATACGCATTGTCCAAGTGGAAGCATTGAAAAAGAAAATTTTTCTGGTTCCAAATGCGAATCTTACGTACCAGAAGAATCGATTCGGAGAAGGAAACCACTTCATGATTTGTCCTCAGAAATGAATCAAGAATTCGTTTGCGAATATTGTGAAAAAAAATCGAATAATGAACAAGTTTGTGTAATTTGTAAACGCATAATGTGTTCCGAATGCACGGTATCTCAAACAGAAGAGGAAGGTGAAATGAAACTATGCCTCGAATGCTTCCAAAATTCGAGAAAAGACGACCGCCTTGCAACTCAAAAAATTGATAATTGGAAAGGAAAGGGCGGATCGCCGAAAATTTCCAAAAAATCCCGATATCTGAATAAAAACACAGCAGAGTTCCTAGACGCAATGTCTTTCAAAAAATACTGTAAATTACCATGTCTAAAAAATGGAACAATTTCATCTTTACGCCTAATCAAAATTGGAAATTCAGAAGTGTCACTCACAAACACCTGTGCGTTTGACAGCATCACCCAAATATTAATGGCGGCAATGAGTGACAATGACAATATAAAAAAATTCATGAATATCCATAGATATCAAAATAATTTTTTTGATCTTGTGTATGACACTGTGGAACATGGTATAAGTCAAAAGACTTATAAGAGAAGGGCTGAGATAATTTGTCACTTATTTGGAGAAGAAATAAAAGATAATACCACACATGAAATCAACTGCACAACAAGTGCGAGCTCTCTAGCTGCCAAAATATTTAAAACTCATCCAAGTTTTATAGAAATTCGTCAATGTGAAGATGGGTGTTATCGAAAAATCGAGTACGCAACATATGGTTGGCATGCGAGATTACTGAAAGAAAATTTACAGACCTTCATAGAAACTATCGCAACAAAGGAAAAAAGATGTAAAAACAATTGCGAAACATATCAATCAGTTTCATTGGAAATGGGTAAGTTCATATTTTTTATTCAACTTTGAGATGACATTCGAATATGAAGAATATCAAAGGGAGAAGGGAAAGCTTACAGTCGGATTGTCAAGTCAACATGCTTGTTCAGAATCAAATTCCGGAGCAAATTCCTATATTATTGTCTTTCGCAAAAATGTGTTTTGTATAAACATGTTTTCTTCCATTTTTGTTATAGTTCCACTAAATTAAATATAAGATTTTCACACCTTTAAAAGGTCTTCTTGTAACCAAACACTGATGATGAAAGATCTTCTGGCAGTGTCTGAACTAAAGAAATTGTTTGGAAAATTGTATACATTCAAATTTTCATTGACCGATATTGACGTGAAAAAAAAATACAAAGAATATTTTATGTTCCAGGAGACATCGTATTGTTCGAAGTATATGGGCAGGAGGATAAAATACCCATAGACTCAATAAGCAATTCGTTCATCAATAAATCAAATGAAACCTACCATCTCATGGGTGTCATTCATTATGTTGGCCCGAAAATGCTTACACGAACTCCAATTCCAGGCCATTATATTGCTTACTGCAAAAGGGGAACGTGCTGGATGGTATACGATGACCTGAAGGAAAAAGCAGAAAGATCTTCACAAAATTTGAAAGTGTATCCTGAAATATTGGTCTATTGTAAAATATAAAGTAAAATGAAAATCGAAGTCGTATTCAGTTATAAAATGTTGATTTTATAAAAATGTAAAATAGCTGCATCACCAAAGACTATTAGCAACTCAACAGTCATTTTATATTTCGAAAATTGAGAGATGATAAATAAATTCAAAACTGTTAAGATGATCACATGCAATATATTATTTAGGCCCATTCCATCAGAAAATTCATTACTGCGCGATTTTGAAACAATTATAGTTTTCCATTGCGAAAGCTTATTACTTTAGAATATTCAGGAAATGAATGACCAACCTGATCAGATCAGATCGATGATCAGATATTGAATGGATTCGACTTTATTTACTTGATGAAAATTCATAATGAAATGAGGAAAGACTCACCTGAGTGTAAATTTTCACAAAAACATAACACACACGACAATTGTTTCGCTGAACATCAGCTTCTTCAAAGTGCAACGTGCACTCTGCACGCAGGAGTAGATTTTAAGGGTTAATTTAAGGGTTTACGCATAGGTGATTGCTGAGAATATTGATTCCTTCACGACAGATATGTTTAGGTCATTTGACAATTGTTTGATGAATTTCAGAGCGGAGAATAACGAACTAAAGATTTTACACATCAAATTCCACGGATTCCAGGAAATTTCACTAAAAATGTATATATACGCGTTAAAAAATACTTTTTTTGCATTTTTTTGTGTTAATTACTCAACAATTACTCAACAATTATTGATAACAACAGTTGCGATATTTGATGTTCAGTTGTCGATTTATTCTAGTGGCACTGCTAACTTAATATAAAGTTAGCAGAGCCACCCCATATAAAAAAAACTAGGAGCGCGACAATTTTTTTTTCTTCACGACAAATATGTTTAGGTCATTCGACAATTGTTTGATGAATTTCAGAGCGGAGAATAATAAATTAAAGATTTTACACATCAAATTCCACGGATTCCAGGAAATTTCACTAAAAATGTATACATACGCGTTAAAAAATACTTTTTTCGCATTTTTTTGTGTTAGATGGACTTCGACAATTACTCGACAATTATTGATAACAACAGTTGCGATATTTGATGTTCAGTTGTCGATTTATTCTAGTGACACTGCTAACTTAATATAAAGTTAGCAGAGCCACCCCATATAAAAAAAAAACTAAGAGCGCGACAATTTTTTTTTCTTCACGACAAATATGTTTAGGTCATTCGACAATTGCTCAATGAATTTCAAAGCGGAGAATAATAAACTAAAGATTTTACACATCAGTTTTCACTGATAACAGGAAGTCACTAAAAATGTATACATACGCTTTAAAAAATACTTTTTTTGCATTTATTTTATGTTAGATGGACTTCGACAATTACTCGACAATTATTGATAACAACAGTTGCGATATTTGATGTTCAGTTGTCGATTTATTCTAGTGGCACTGCTAACTTAATATAAAGTTAGCAGAGCCACCCCATATAAAAAAAAACTAAGAGCGCGACAATTTTTTTTTCTTCACGACAAATATGTTTAGGTCATTCGACAATTGCTCAATGAATTTCAGAGCGGAGAATAATAAACTAAAGATTTTACACATCAGTTTTCACTGATAACAGGAAAAGTCACTAAAAATGTATACATACGCGTTAAAAAATACTTTTTTGCATTTATTTTATGTTAGATGGACTTCGACAATTACTCGACAATTATTGATAACAACAGTTGCGATATTTGATGTTCAGTTGTCGATTTATTCTAGTGGCACTGCTAACTTAATATAAAGTTAGCAGAGCCACCCCATATAAAAAAAACTAAGAGCGCGACAATTTTTTTTCCTTCACGACAAATATGTTTAGGTCATTCGACAATTGCTCAATGAATTTCAAAGCGGAGAATAATGAACTAAAGATTTTACACATCAGTTTCCAGAAAGTCCAATGAATATAACAGAGCTATAAACAATTTTTTGTTGATTTTTTTACGTTAAATAGACTTCGACAATTTTTCGTACCAACAGGTCAAGCGACAAATAGTTTTTGCCACCCTATAAAAGTTATGGGATTTCCTAAATGTAAATAGAAATCAACAATTCACATGGGTGACTTTTTTTCTTCTTTTATTCATCATTTACAATGATTTTTATCTGATCTATAGAAGAGAGAAAATGAAACATATATAGATATCTATCAATTATGTCACTGAAAATGATGTAGGAGGTCGAAATAAGAATGCGGTGTTGCCAAATACTGGAAATTTCCACGGATTCCAGGAAATTTCACTAAAAATGTAAATATACGCGTTAAAAAAACACTTTTTTCGCATTTTTTTGTGTTAGATGGACTTCGACAATTACTCGACAATTATTGATAACAACAGTTGCGATATTTGATTTTCAGTTGTCGATTTATTCTAGTGGCACTGCTAACTTAATATAATGTTAGCAGAGCCACCCCATATAAAAAAAACTAAGAGCGCGACAATTTTTTTTTCTTCACGACAAATTCTCGACAATCATTCGACAATTAATGGCATAGTTTTTATCGATTTTCATGCAAGTGGCTTTGCTAACTTTATAGAGGTGATTGAGAACGCTTATTAGAGTAACCAAATTTTCAGGATAATCTAATGTACCGTTTTCCGTATACGTTTGAGGTACCTACCATCGACCGTGGGCCACCCTATATAATGTAGAATTTCTAAATATTTTTTTAATAATTATATACAGGATGATACATCTTAGAAAATTATGTCGAATTGAAATTTGAAAAAATATTTTATGTATTATTTTCATTTTTAATGAAATATTCATTTGGTTTTTTTTCAAATTTTAAATAGTATATTATGTATCAAGTGTTATAAACGTCCTTTTAGTAACGAGTAGTTTAAGCACGAGCAGAGCGAGAGTTTAATAAACGAGTGTCTAGAAGAATTTATAAACGCGTTACATACTATGATTTTTTTACGAACTCTAAAAATTACATTAATTAACATACCTGCTATTCCTACTAACCTACAAAATAATTCGAAAAGAATGGGAATTGAAAACATAATACATACAACTGCAGGCAACCAGCGAGACACGTATAAGTGATATTGGTTGTAGATCTGTACAGTCCATTGCTTACTAACCTTTGTTTCACGTTTATTGTCATGCTTAGCGCTGAATAAATAAATTGTTCTCAAAGATAGATGCTTCATTTTTACACTTCTTGGAGGTGTATAAGTACCTGAACATTCTCTTCGATTTCACTCTCGTCTATTTTTCGCATATATTTTTAATGAAGAATTCCGATACAAACGAATATTTTTTGAATAATTCTGATACAAAAAAATATGAAAATAACAGTTGACAGTTAATACAACTGACAGGCCAGACATGTCTCGAATTACTGAAGCTGTGTTTAATGAACTGCGTTGCCATGGTTATGTGTTTAAGAAATCGTGTTGCCATGGTAACGTGTTTAATATTTTGAATAAATCACAGATCGACAATCCGTGATTAATCGATCATTTAGCCATTTTAGTTATGTGAATAGAAAAAACTGATTACTCATACATTTTCTAATTATTATTATTATATGAATATTGAAAAAATATAGAAAAAAATTTCAGATGCAATAAAATTTGCATATTCCGATAAACTTTATTCGACATATTTCTTAATAAAAATAATGAAGAAATTCACAACAAATAAAATCATTTATGAGATGTATTCATGAAATTTTAAAACAAAATATAATATACATGTCTCAAAGAGTTTTTTGTTTCCCGAAATCAATATATTTTTTGAGTTATTCAAAATTGCATTACAAGAGAAGCATCTAGTCTGTATGATTTGAATTTGGAAAAAATAATGTACAAACTCAATAAATTTTGATTCGATTGCATTGTAACTATATGAATATAATGAAATGAAATATGATTTTATATTATGATATACTAGAAATATATTGTATGATATAATAGATTTTGAATAAATAAAAAACTATTTAACAATATTTTTAGTATTTTTCAAATACCAATGTCCTATAGTGAAATTATAAAAATGTTTTCATAATGAAATATTTCAAGTTGAAAAATATAGATACAAATTATTATTTTATCGAATTTATTTTTTATATATTTAAATAATGGTGTGATGATTCATTGAATTTCTTTATTTTTTCAAAAGTGGAAATATAATTATTTTTTTATAGAAAAAAATCAACAAATGACAAAAATATTGATAATAATTGTTCCTTTTCTTTTTTTTTTTTAGTGAATACAAATCCCAAATAAAATGGAGAAAAATGGAAAAGATAAAATTTTGAATAGACATTTGACAATTTCATTCGAAAATTTAGAAGGTGGGATTGAATTGATAAATACATGTATTGAAAGAACTATTTCTACAACTGATACTTGTATTCGTCATATTCAATCTAATCTCTCTAACGATTCTAATGAAAATAATGAAATTTTTGAATTTGACAATGATGATTCATTTTACTTGGTTCTTTGGGATTTTCTCTCCTCGTTTCTATAAAATAAAAGTATTCGTATTATTTCAATATATTTGTAGAGGGACAAATCAGATGATTTGCCCCAAAATGTCACTGCGTTTAACAAATTTTTCTATCAGGGAGTCTAAAAGAAAAATCCAGTAGCTTGTCAGTGACAATTTGTTTGAAAAAATTTTTGAAGGAAAGAAATATAGATATATTGAAAAAATATCGAATTTTTACTTATCTTTGGACGTTTCGGGACCGATTCTGCTCCCGTTCTCAACATGTAAAATGCAAATTATTTTTCTTTGAAAGTTGTGCTGCGTATAGTTTGACACTTTTCAGCGTCATACTGATGTTGGCATATGAATGAGTGATTTTAGTCTACTGAAAACTGAACATGAAAATGGTAGATTCAAGATCAATTAATGAAAACATCCTGTAACTCATTTGTAGACTAAAATCACTCATTCATATGCCAACATCAGTATGACGCTGAAAAGTGTCAAACTATACGCAGCACAACTTTCAAAGAAAAAT